AGACTACGTTACTCAGGAAGATTATCATTTAATATTGAAGGAGAAATAAAGAACTTCCCAGACAACAAAAAGCTAAAGTTCATTACCACCAAATCAGTATTACAAAAAATGTTCAATGGTCTGATTTTAAAAAATGAAAGAAAAAGAAGAGAAACATAGTTATAAAGAATAAAATGATAGTAAATACATACATATCAATAATCAACTTAAATGTTATTGGCATAAATGCTCCTATAAGAAGACATAGGGTAGCCCTGGCTGGCATGCTCAGTGGTTAGAGCAGTGGCCTGTGCATAGAAGGATCATGGGTTTGATTCCTAGTCAATGGTGTATACTTGGATTGCAGGTTCCATCCCTATCCCCAGTTTGGCTCATGTGGGAGGCAACCAATTGATGTGCCTCTCACATTGATTTCTCTCTCTCTCTCTCTCTCTCTCTCTCTCTCTCTCTCTCTCTCTCTCTTTCTCTCCTCCCTTCCACTCTCTGAAAAAAAATTAGTAGAAAAATATGCTCATTCTTGGAGTGAGGATTAAGAAAAAGAGGCAGAGGGTAGCTGAATGGATAAGAAAACAAGACTAATGTATATACTTTCTACAAGAGACCCACCTCAGAACAAGAAACACACAGAGATAAAAATAAAGGGATAGAATAAGATATTTCGAGGAAGTGGAAATGGCAAAAAAAAGAAAAAAGAAAAAGAAAAGATGTGATAGCAATACTTATATTACTTATATCAGACAAAATAAACTTAAAAGAACATATTATATTAACAGGCAAAAAAGAACTCTACACAATGATAAAGGGATCAACCCAACAACAGGATATAACCATTGTAAACGTTTATGGACCCAACATAGGAGCACTTAAATATAATAAGCAAATGTTGATGGACATATAGGGAGGGATTGACAGTAACGCAGTCATAGTATGGAATTTTAACACCCATTGGCATTAATGGATAGATCTTCCAGAAGGAAACAGTAGCCATATATGACACACTAGATCAGATACATTAAATTGATATCTTCAGTGCATTTCACCCCAAAGCAGCAGAAAATACATATTCTTTTCAAGTGCACGTGGAACGTTTTCTAGGAGAGACCTCTGTTAGATCACAAAACAAGTCCCAATAAAATTAAGATGATTGAAATAATATCAAGCATATTCTCTTACCCAGATATGAAATTACACCTACATGGTCAACTAATATTTGACAAATAAAACAAAAACATAAAATGGGGTAACAACAAACTATTTACCGTATTTTTCGGACCATAAGATGCACTTTTTCCCCCCCAGAAGTGGGGGGAAAAAGTCCCTGCGTCTTATGGTCCAAATATAGCCTACACATATACTTAAAAAAAAAAAAGGTTTTTTACTTGCCCGGCTCTGTGTGGTCTCTGTGTGCTTGCCCAGCTCTAAAATGGTTCTAAATGCTGCTGTTTACTTTACAGGGTTGATTACATGTGTTTATGACTGTGATGTTGGGTTTTAATGCACATAAAATATTTTAGGACACTATTTGTTTCAGAATCTTTTTTCTTCATTTCCCTTCTCTAAAAACTGGTGCGTCTTATGGTCCGGTGCGTCTTATGGTCCGAAAAATACGGTAGTAAATGGTGTTGGGTAAATTGACCCGTTAAGGGGCAGGGAGGGAGGGGGAGAAACTAGACCACTTTCTTACATTATACACAAGTATGAACTCAGCCCTGACTGTTTGGTTCAGTGGATAGAGCGTCAGCCTGCGGACTCAAGAGTTCCAGGTTCGATTCCAGTCAAGGGCGTGTACTTTGGTTGCGGGCACATCCCCAGTGGGCGGTGTGCAGGAGGCAGCTAATCGATGTTTCTCTCTCATCGATGTTTCTAACACTCTATCCCTCTCTCTTCCTCTCTGTAAAAAATCAATAAAATATATTTTTAAAAAAAGTATGAACTCAAATGGATTAAAGACTTGGATGTTAGATTAAAACCTTAAAAATCCATGAAGAAAACCTAAGCAGTAAAATCTCTCTTAATAATATATATTTGACACATCTCCTTGGGGAAGGGAAACAAAACAAAACAAAAAAATAAATAAAGAAACGAGAAGACGTGGGGAGGGGGGTACTGGAGGCCTGATGGGCATGTAGGCACAGTGGTTAGGGCATGAGATGTGGACAGGGCAAAACAAGAGTCTGCTACAAGGATCCTTAAAGGGGACACAAAAGCAACCGGGAAGGACAGACAGAGAGGCGGGAGGGAGATCAGAAGAAGCAGGGAGCCAGGGGATGTTTGTGTGGACAATCACAAGGCGATGCATTTTAAGCAACAGTGCATCCCACTTCCGTTGTGTCTGTACTTTATCCTGCCAGCCTGCCAGAGGCAACTCCAAAAAGCCTAACCTGGGCTCTGTGGAGCCACTCACACCCCATCCAGGGTCCATTTAGGTGAGCCCAAGCCAGGCCAGCCTGGGACTCGGCTGTGTGAGTGTGTGTGTGTGTGTGTGTGTGTGTGTGTGTGTGTGTCTGGGGCAGTGGAGCTCACATTTGTGGTTGGCCACAAAGGGGGCGTGGAAATCTTCCCTGGAAAATAATGAGCGGAGAAACTACTGATTAGTCACATCCCGGATAATCCTGGGCTAGAGGCTGGAGAGGGCTCTGAAATGTCTGTGCTGCCCTCTAACCTACTAAGGAGTCCCCCCCCTCCCCCTTAGACTGGCACCTGCCCGGCGCCCCGGACGCTCACACCCCAGGCCGGCTCACTCTCCTTGCCAAGTCTGAAGAACTACAAGTGTTTCCCCAGCTTTGGGGAACTCTGCACGAAACCCTTAGCTGCTGAGCTGTTCTCAGGGGTTGGGGCTCTGAGCGGATCCCCCGAGTCGCGCTGGGGAGGACCGTGGATCTCCAGCAGCAGCCGGGGGCGGGTCAGCAGGGCGGGGGTGGTGGTGGTGGTAGGAAAGGCAATTTTCACGGGGGAGGGCGCAGTGAAAATGCTGCGCAAAGGAAGGGGTGCCAGGGTTCAGCTCTCCCCAATCCCACCCCCATGTCCCTCGGGCCCCTCCCCGCAGGTGGGGCGGCAGGAGGCGTTAGGGACGCGTCTATCCTGGAATTGCAAGGTCCCCAGGCCACCAGCCCTGCCTCCTTCTCAGGCCTCTTGCTTCTCTCGCCGGGTGTCTCTCCGTGTCCAGGGTGAGCGCATTCACCAGCCTCAGGTCATCTTCTTTGGAAATGCGCGTTGTAGGATCCCTCCGCAGTGCTCCCGGCACTCCCTGTGCGCCGCCACCGTGCGGGGAGCCCGAAGGTGGGGCCCTCCGGTGACCCCGGCCTCTGCCCGAGGGAGACTCCCGGACCCCAGCCCGAAGCCGAAAGTGACGCCAGCGTCCAAGCCGCCCGCCCCGCCCCGGAGCAATTCCAAGGGCAGTTACCCCGAAGGAAAGTTATTGTTTTGCTAATCCCGGGGACAGCTTTCGAGGGGAGATTTGGGTCTTCCTTTAATTCGTGAGAGTTAATGCTCAGCCTGTAGTAATTAATTATCTCTACCGGAGGCCCCGCGGTTAATCCGCACGTTCCCGGAGGCCCCGCTGGAGAGCGCGTCCGGAAGGAGGCCCACCTCGCGGGCCGGGCTCCGCGGGGAGCGGGGAGCGCAGGAGCCCTCGGTCCGGCCGGGCCCGCAGAGTGGCCGCCTCCTCCGAGGTGACACCTCCTCGCGGAGTGACTGCTCGGACCTCAGGGTGGGACTGAGGAGAGGCTGCTTCCCGGTTCCTGGTTTGGGAAGGGTGGGCTCAGAGCTCCAATTTCCGGGGTGTCGGCAAGGTCTGGCTTCCCCAAGTTCAAGTTTGGCGCCAACTTGAACATGAAAACCAAGCTTTCTTGGTCTGATCAAACACTGACAGTAATAAAGTGTCAGCCTCCGAGAAAAGCTCTCTGTTCCAATGCACAATCCCTATTTTCCAATGAACTCCCCACTATCCCCATTGAGGGCTGCAAGAAGGAATGCTGGCACATACTCATACTAAAGAAGTCTTCATGCCGAAGCCGGTTTGGCTCAGTGGATAGAGTGTCGGCCTGCGGACTGAAGGGTCCCAGGTTCGACTCCAGCCAAGGGCATGGACCTTGGTTGCGGACACATCCCTGGTGGGGGTGTGCAGGAGGCAGCTGATCGATGATTCTCTCTCATCGATGTTTCTAGCTCTCTATCCTTCTCCCCTTCCTCTATGAAAAATCAATAAAATATATTTAAAAAATAAAAAAGTCTTCATTGCATATCTGAAATGTCAGGTTCACGGACCTCCAGTCATGCAGTTTGCTAAACCTGCCACCTGCTAGGGGGTCACTCCACTCCTGCCTGTCTCTGTCTCTCCTTCCTCCCAGTTCCCAGCAGTTTTGCCACCCCGGGAGCACCAGGGGGTGGATGTGCCCGGAGGCAGAGTGGGCAGGGGTTACATGAACGCTGGGGGTTTGGGGGGGGGGGAGGAGGGAGGGGAGGCCCTTCTTGGTGCCCGCGGTGCCGGTGAGCGCTGTGAACGAAGCCTCCAGGGGAGCGTGGCTGTGAACGAAGCCCGAGGTCTCCGTGTGCGGCCGGCTGGTGGGATCGAGGCTTCGGGGGCCGCTGAGACCCCAACCTCCACCCAGAGGATCTGGAAGGAAAGGGAATTCCATGCGCACTGAAACCTTCGGCTTTTAGAGGGACGGGCAGATAGCGGGGTCCCTGTCTCCTCCCACCGTAAACGGGGGTGGTGGTGGTGGTGGTGGTGGTGGTGGTGTTGGGGGGGGGGCGGGGGACAGCTGGGAGGAGGTGGGAGCAGAGGGGGCTGCAGCTGCGAGGGCGGCGCCCGGAGGGCGGGGAGCTGCTGGCGTCCCAGCTCGCGGGGTCCCGGGCGATGACGCGCCCGCGCCGGGCTGATGGGAGCCCTCCTGGCCGTCCGCGCCCGACGGGGGCCCCGCTATATAAAGCGCCCTCCCAGCCGAGCCCCTTTCGCGATGGTGACCGGCCGAGGGCCCAACCTCCGCGACCGACACCCCATGACGGGCCGAGACGCGCTCTCCGAGGGGCGCGCTCGGGGCGCCCCCGCCGGCCCGCGTCCCCGGCCCCGCGGCTTCGCCATCACGGACCTGCTGGGCCTGGAGGCCGAGCCGCCGTCTGCGGCCGGGCCCGGGCCCGCGTCGGGCTGCGGGGGCCCGGCAGTCGCGCCCCGGCCCAGCCCCGGGCTCGGCGGCCCCCGCCTGGCGCTCGGGCCGCTCCCGCTGGGGCTCGGCCTCCTCTGCGGCCTCGGCGCGCAGCCCCCCGCGGCCGCCCGGGAGCCCCGCTTGATCCTCGCAGCCGACGTGCCGCGCCCGGACCCCGCGCCGGCCCCGCCGCTGGCCCGCCGCCGCCCGCCGTCCCCGCGGGGCCGCCAGAAGCGCAGCGACAGCGTCTCCACGTCGGGTAACGGGGCCATCCCATCCCCTCCTGCTCCTGCTCCCTCGGGTTCGGGCCGCGCAGTAGTAACGCAGCATCATCCCACCCCCAGCGTCCTAGATTAAGGTGACCAGATCCTCCCGCTTTTGGCGGGACAGTCCTGATTCTTAACAAATTTTCCCGCGACCCGCGGCGTTTTAAAAAAGTCCCGATTGTTGGAAAGAATCTTTCCAAAAACCGGGACTTTTTTTTTTTTTTTAAACGCCGCGGGACGTGGGAAAAATTGTTGAAAATCGAGACTGTCCCGCCCAAAGCGGGACGATCTGTTCACCTTATCCTAAATCTAAGGGAGGTCAGGACCCCAGGTCCCCGCCGGGTCCAGGGGAGGCGCATCCCCGCACCCGCACCCGCACCCGCTCTTGCCTCTTCCTAAATCCCTGCCTATCCCCGGATTCTGGTGAACATCACTGCCGCCGGGTTTCGGGCCGTCCTGGGGGTCTGGAGTGCCCGGCATTGGTCTGGCTCTGCCCAGCGCCTTTCCCCACCGCCCCGTGCGAATTTCGACCCTGAGAACCAAGGAGGTCTGGAAGGCCTGAGCCTGCCTTCCCACCAGCAGCACAGAACCCGGTAACCCGGTAACCCGGGGCGCTCACACCTTTGCAGAACTAGTTGAGGTCCGTGAAGAGCGCTGGGCCTGGAGCCTCGGGTCTGTCTACCTCCCCGGGCGCCCCGCTTCCCTCCTGTGCCGCCCTTCCTTCTCCCTACTCTTGAGAAAGAAAGCAACCTGGTCAATTTCATTGTAGTTAGGCTTAGTATTTTGTTCTGAGCCCACCTGTTTCCTCAAAGACATCAATGTGGATTATAGGGAAAGAGAAGGAAGCAATAACATTCTTTAGAGGACAAGGGCCAAGAAACAAACGTTTAAGGTGTTAGGGAAAATTCCATAAGAAAACTGGAGTGAGAGAAACTATGCAGTAGAATCTAGAGCTGAGCATCCAGGCAGCCAAGGCAAAAAGAGTACATTGGGCCCTACCTGGTTTAGCTCAGTCAAGGGTCCCAAGTTCGATTCCAGTCAAGGGCATGTACCTTGGTTGCGGTCACATCCCCAGGGGGGGTGTGCAGGAGGCAGCTGATAGATGTTCCTAACTCTCTATCCCTTTTCCTTCCTCTCGGTAAAAAAAAAAATTAATAAAATATATTTAGAAATAAAAAAAAGAGTACATTGGGTCTCCACTGATAAAAGGAAGGCAGTGGTAAGTGAGCTTTTGCTCAACTCCAAAAGGACTTTATTTCATGAGTCTATAAAATAAAATGAACCCTCAATTAGTACTCCCATTCCCTGCCCCCCAAAATGCAGAAACCATCTACATACGATGGGATCTTTTTTTTTATATATATATTTTATTGATTTTTTTACAGAGAGGAAGGGAGAGAGATAGAGAGTTAAGAAACATCGATGAGAGAGATACATCGATCAGCTGCCTCCTGCACCCCCCTCACTGGGGATGTGCCCCCAACCAAGGTACATGCCCTTGACCGCAGGCTGACGCTCTATCCACTGAGCCAAACCGGTTTTGGCAGGATGGGATCTTTCTCTGTGGGCACTGATAAAATGAAAGCAAAATGCAACTAAATCTTAGTCTGTGAGCAATGCTACCCAATAGATATATGTGACTGAGAGTGTGAAGAAAATTTATCTTTTTAAAAAATTTTTTAATTGATTTTTTTTTAGAGAGAGGAAGGGAGAGGGAAACGTCCACGTAGAACAAAGCATCAATTGGCTGCCTCCTGCACGCCCCCTACTGGGGCCACAGCCCAGGTGTGTGCCCTGATTGGGAATCAAGCCAGCAACTGTTCAGTGCATTGTACAACACCCAACCAACTGAGCCACACAACAAAAAGGAAGAATAAACAGGTGAAATTAATTTAAATACTATATTTAATCCAATACACATAAAATAAATTTATATATAATGAATCTAAAAACTATTAATATTTTACTTTTGGGGTAGTAAGTCTTCTTAATCAACAGAATATATTACATTTACTAGCAGGTCTCAGTTTGGACCAGCCACATTTCATATGTTCATTTATGTATGTTAATACAGCATGGGTATTATAATCTAAGCATACAGTTTTCTGGTAAGTGAATTGATGTTGGAGTAAAATTAATATTATTTTTCCTTTAATTTATTTTTCATACTTTGAGGCAAAAATGGTTTTTAACAATGAATCTTACAATAGTTTGATATTCTAACCTTCCTTTTTATACAGATCTTTTAATAAAAAGGCTATCAAGAGATAAAGCATAGTAGTGTTCTTAATATTTTTCAAGTGCACCTAAGACTTATCTAGGCATATTTATCACGAATGAGTTTCTGGACCCCACCTCCAGAGATTCAGAACTGGTACAGCAGGGCAAGGAGTGCAGTTTAAAAAATACATATTTTTATTGATTTCAGAGCGGGAGAGAGATAGAGAAACATTAATGATGAGAGAGAAGCATGACTGGCTGCGTCCTGCCCTCCCCCCACTGGGGATCGAGCCTGCAACTCAGGCACGTGCCCTTGGCCGGAATCAGACTTGGACCTCTTCAGCCCAAAGGCTGATGCTCTATCCTCTGAGCCAAACCTGCTAGGGCAGGGGTGCAGCTTCGACAAGAGTTCTGATGTAACAAACTTCAGCCCACCTTTGAGAAATATTGGTGTGCTGATTAAGATAAGGAAGTTGGAAGCAGAAGGAAGTGGATGAATTTGAGAGCTGAGTGGGGATAGAAAATTCGATTAGTTGCCAAGTAGCTTTAGCTTCACACAATCTAGGGTTTTTGAATCCCAACGTGACCATTTATTACCTGTGTGATCATGGTAATAAAATCTCTCCGTGCCTCAGTTTCCCCATCTGTAGGAATAGGATGCTAACAGCAGCTATATCAGACTTCTCTAATTTTATGAAGAAGAATGGCAATAATGCCTGAATAATGCTGAGTACAGAACATGGATTGTGAGTGCTAAAAATGCTAGCTTGTATTAAACTAAATATTACTCACATTTTGCAACAAGTTCATAGTTTTAAAACGCAGAAATTAAAGTGAAGAATATACTCACTGTTATAAAGTCCTCTCTTTCTCCTTATGCCAACAGATGAGGAAAGTCTACCTGAAAACAGGAGTAACCTGAAGGTGTCCCTCAGCCCTGGCAAGAGGAAGAAGAGGCGGCACAGGTACAGGGCCAGGCCATCCTCTCTGACCCTCTCCCTGGGACACACAGCATCTGAGAGTGGGTGGTCCCGCATTAGAGGAAGCCCAGTGGGTCCCAGGTTGGCAATGGGAAGGATACAGTAACCATTTAGGAACATAATTTTGCAAATCCCAAGAGGCTGCAGGACAATCTTCGCAGCATTTAAAGGACACAGGTTTGTGGATCTTTAAAATGGGTCTTAGAATGAGTTGGTGACTGACTAGATGAGTTGGGGAAAAAACATGCTGAAGAGCTATCTTATTTGAACCAAACCTTCCAAAGGTTAATCATTCTGAAGTGGGGTATTCGGTTATTATGAGGTGGCCTTTGGGGTGTGGACAACGGGGGAGGTAGGCACAGAGTCCCCACCCTGGGAAGCCTGGTATCCTCCTTTGACCATGTGCACACGTGTCTTCTGGGCCTCCCTGCAGGACTGTCTTCACCACCCAGCAGCTGGAAGAGCTGGAGAAGGCGTTCGGCGAGGCGCACTACCCCGATGTGTATGCCCGGGAGATGCTGGCCATGAAAACGGAGCTCCCTGAGGACCGAATACAGGTGTCCGGGGTTCCCTTCTCCTTCCCGAAGACACCCTAGAGAACATGTCAACCTCACAGCCAGTGTGACCCATGGCCACATCTAAACAGCCAAACACACATTCCCTCGCACAGGCAAACTGAGGGCCACTCAGCCACAGGCACCATCGTGCTAGAACCTTCCTTATGTCTATGTAAGAGGATACCCCCTGTAACCTTCATGCCTTTTTTTCTTTTATTAAGTTATTCTTTAAAATCACAATGCTGTGGGCTGCCACAAGAAACTATATAAAGATATATCAATAAAAGGAAGTGACCGTCCATCCCTATAAAACCTCAAAGGAAACAATATAAGTAACCTGACGTGGCCTTTCTGCACATTGCCTTGAACGCATAATAATCTGGCCACTCAGTGAGTGTGTGTGTGTGTGTGTGTGTGTGTGTGTGTGTGTTTTATAGGCCTGGTGCATGAATTAGTGCATGAGTAGGGTCTGGCCAGCCTGACCAGGGGGAGGGGACATGGTTGAACTCCTGGTTGAGGGGACAATTTGCGTATTAGCTTTTTATTATATAGGATATACACTATCTGGCCAGATTATTATGTATTCAGAGATCATAATAATGGCCACTCGGTGTATATTGGCCCTGAACAATATATACACTCACATACATATAGAATTTTGTCTTATTTTTACAAAAATGTATCATATCATACAACTCTACCTCTTTGCTTACAGCACATGTTGGATATTTGTCCAGGTCAGAAGATATGCCACAAACTCACCCTTTTTTAACAGCGAAACAGTAGTTCATACTATTCCTTTATCAAGCTGTTTCCTATGAGAAATATCACCAGCAACCCAACAACCTGAGATTAGAATGGGCCATTGACTGAGCGACTTCTTTCCAAACCATGAGAAAAGCCAGAAAACATTACAGTCGATGCCTTCACACTATGTGGGAGAGAATACTTTACTTTTTTTGTCAACTCCATGGAAAAATTCAGTGGAAAGTGGTCACACGTTACCCCACAACAAGTCCCTGTGAGCGTTGAGTGAACAGTGGGCATAGTTACTGAAAGGTCTTGGACCGTATGAGCTCCCTGTATTGACCCGTTTTAGAACTCCCAGCTCAGGGACACCGCCAAGGGCCCTAGTCACCGTGTCATCTGCCTCACACCAGGTCTGGTTTCAAAATCGGAGGGCCAGGTGGCGGAAGCAGGAGAAGCGCTGGGGCGGCAGCAGCGTGATGGCCGAGTACGGGCTCTACGGGGCCATGGTGCGACACTGCATCCCTCTGCCGGACTCTGTCCTCAACTCCGCGGAGGACAGCCTGGCCGGTTTCTGTGCGCCCTGGCTCCTAGGTAAGGAAGAGGCTGAGAGAGAAAATCCAGTGGGAAATGAAGCTCATCCCTCTGAGATGATAGGACCAGGGGTTGAGTGTGTGGGTGGAAGTGCCTACTTGGCATCTGCTGTCCATAGCCAAACAAGAAACTGGGCTCTGTCGAAACCGGTTTGGCTCAGTGGATAGAGCGTTGGCCTGCGGACTGAAAGGTCCCTGTTCGATTCCGGTCAAGGGCATGTACCTTGGTTGCGGGCACATCCCCAGTAAGGGGAGTGCAAGAGGCAGCTTATCAATGATTCTCTCTCATCGATGCTTCTAACTTTCTATCCCTCTCTCTTCCTCTCTGTGAAAAATCAATAAAATATATTTAAAAAAAAAGAAAAAGAAAAAAGAGAAACTGGGCCCAGTGCTGCCAGACATTCTGACTTTTTGAGAGAAGCTGGAAGTCTGGCTTTCGATGTATAATCTCCTGATTTTTAAAATGTTGTGAACAATTTTCAAAATAAGAAGTTTAAAGTCCCTATGTCATCTAAACAAGGCAGCTTTGCTGGCTGCACCTGGCTGGCACACACCAGCTTCCAACCCCTAACAGTGGGAGTTACCTGAGGAGCCAGAGAGAGGTACTGACAAGGGCAATTCTAAAGGGATGCAGAGAGAAAGAACAGAGAAGAAATTCAGTTAATTGCTAATCCTAAAGATATCTGTTTTTCCCTCTTTTTTTTTTTTTTTTTTTTTTTTTTGAAGGGATGCATAAAAAATCCTCAGGGATGCTAAGGAAACCAGGAAATGAAGAAAAGCTGGCTGGACTCTGGGGCCCTGACCACCTCAAGGAAGGTTCTAGTCCAAGTGAGGCCAGGTCCCTGAGAGTCTCCAATGAAGCCAGCCCTGAGAATAACGTGGAGGATGCTGCCATGGATCTCTCCAGCCCCGCATGGCAGGAAACCAAGACGGTGCCCCAGGGGACCGGTGCTCCAGGCTCCGAGGGGCTCCAGCCTGGGAAGGTGGGAGCCTTCTGAGGGCCACAGGCCCCACCCTCACAGGGAGGAAATTCTTCACCGTGGCTTTTTCAGAAAACAAACGTTGTCCAGGACCAGTCGTCTCAGTTGGATTTCTTGCTAGTGCGAGGATAAAATTCAATGCCATTTGTTTTAGAAGATGAATGGGTGACTCGGGAAAAACTCCATTTTGTTCTAGAGTGGAAACCACTCCTGAAAGACACTTGAACCAGTTAATGGGGTGTAAACATTTCATTGTCTTCCGTGGAACTTGAGGAGGGAAGATTTTCATTCAAACAGCATTTTCACTGCTGGGCATCATTTGAGAGTTGGTTCGATGAGTAGGTTAGGTCTGATGTCCTCACTCTGAACTTGAAAACATAAAATTACTTAACTTCCTGAGAATCAGATGTCTTCATAAGTACTGAAGACCCCTTGCAGACATATGAATGAGTTATATTACCTTTATCTTGAGCTTGACTTCAGACATTTTGATTTTCTTACCAGGCAATACTTTTGCATTCTCCTGAGTTACATTTGATATGCTATGTGTGTTGGAGTTTGCAAAAACAAACAAACAAACAAACAACCCAACAACACAAAGCATGCTTTCCCCTTTCTCTTGGAAATAACATGGACCGTATTTAAACAATTGTTGGTTATTTATAAACAGTGTTTTAAGATCAGACCAGGTTCCTTGGTCTTTCAAAATTTATATTGGAAAGCACTTTAGTGACTTGGATTTCATGAATATTTCCTTTCCTGTATTCCCTTTGCCACTTATTTATTATGTAAAAATAAACATTGTGTAGTATGCTTGCCTGTCAAAGTGCATGTCTTTGCATGTCTCCATATTATTGGCGATCCCCCGACAAGCCGTCCCCCATCCCCTTTTAATCTGGGAATCTCGAAAGCATTTCATTCTTCAGGCTGCAGCACTCAACATGTGTTGCTTTGTATACTCCTGAGGCAGTGGCTGTGTCTAATTCACCTGTTAGAGTCGAGTCCAGAGAGAGCTGAGAGGGAAATGCAGAGCTTTGAGAAAGGAATGTGCAAACACTACTTGCAAGGGTTTCCTCTGGAAAACGGCGCAGTCATCTGTCAGCTGGGGCCTGGTTCTCCCATCTCTACAGGTGAGAAAAGAAGGACTCCCTTCGGTTGGCTTCCTTCCATACTACTGTGAAAACAGATTGTCACCTGTCCTTACTGTAAAATGAGATCATGCAGCATTTGTCTTTCTGTCTGACTTACTTCATTAGCGTAAGGCCCTCAAAGTCCATCCATATTGTTGCAAATGGCAAGATTTCCTTTCTCCCCCCCCCCCCCCACCTCATGGCTACATAACAGTTAATTGTGTGTGGGTCTAGTTCTTTGTTCTCACTGAGTGGTGTTTAGCTGACGTAACCCTAGAGGAAGGTATCCAGCAAGCTATTATCTTGTAGTTTAGGAGAATGAATTGTTAAGAACACCAAATGAGGACTTGTTTATATTGGGTTTGATTGATCTTGCAGGGATCCTGATTTCCAGGTTTTAAAATATACCCAGTTCCCTGAATCATATGGGTATAGCCCAGTATTAATTGGTATGAGTAAAATCAGATTAGCATATTTGTGTTGTTGAATAATATGTTTAACAGCCTGTTTTTATAAATGGGTCTGGGTATCCTAGAATTTGAGAGGAACACAAAAAGGGTCTACAGTACATAAGTTCGAAATGACTTACGTTAATTATTCCTTTGGGCACTGCCCTGATCTGGGTCAGGGCAATTGGTGATTATTATTATTTTTTTAAATTATTTTCGTGGTTTTTTTAAAATATATTTTATTGATTTTTGTACAGAGAGGAAGGGAGAGAGATAGAGAGTTAGAAACATCGATGAGAGAGAGTCATCGATCAGCTGCCTCTTGCACACCCCCTACTGGGGATATGCCCGCAACCAAGGTACGTGCCCTTGACCGGAATCGAACCCGGGACCTTTCAGTGCCCAAGCCGATGCTCTATCCATTGAGCCAAACCTGTTTCGACCAATTGGTGATTATTTAAGGCAAGTCTCATGGTTTCCTGGCACAGTTTGGCCAAGGTCTTTTTTTAATTTATTTTTATTTTTAAAATATATTTTATTGATTTTTTTACAGAGAGGAAGAGAGAAGGATAGAGAGTTACAAACATCGATGAGAGAGAATCATCGATCAGCTGCCTCCTGCATGCCCCCTACTGGGTACATGCCCTTGACCAGAATCAAAATATCTACATGTACCCAGTAGGGGGCGTGCAGGAGGCAGCTGATCGATGATTCCCAGTCAAGGGTTACAGTTCATATCTCTGGATCTATTTTTGTTCAACCAAGGTACATGCCCTTGACCAGAATCAAACCTGGGACCTTTCAGTCCCCAGACCTACGCTCTATCCACTGAGCCAAACCGGTTTTGGCTGGCCAAGGTCTTTTTGAGTATTTTATTACATCATTCCATTTTTTCCCCTGAGGATTGTGGTCTCCATGAAGAATATAAGACTCATTTCATTTGGAGAGCTAGTGCTACTTCCTTTATGAGGGCCACGATGAAAGCCAGATCATTGTCACTTTGAAAGGCTCTGGGGGAGTCCAAGCTTCGGTGCTATTTTCTTAAGCAGTGACTACAACTTTTTGCTCCTTCCAGTTCAGCATTTGCATGCTTGAACCTATCCAGTAAAGGTATTTATTTACTAACACCAGTAAGCATTTCAATCCTTTTCCTGGACATCACTGCACAGTCCACCTGTCACTCTTCTCTAGGCAACATTCCTTGGGACTGGACTGCCTGCCTTAAAGGTGATAATGGAGGTCTGGTAGATGCGTTGTTCTTTGGCGCAGCTGGCCCCGACTCCATTAATGACTATTCTCATGCTTGGGGCCCAAACCATGTATATCATGCTTCTTTTCCATAATATGTGAAATCATGGGCTTCTTTTTACTATTTCCAAGTTAATTCTTGAGGAAAAAAAATCTTATGTTCATTTATCCACCCCTTACATGTAGGAGTCTCCTTAAACCCCTTTCAACACAGTTATGACCTGAGACTTTAAAGGAGGTTGGCAATGAAGCAGCAAGATAGAAGGTGTAACAACTTTTTATTTTTGCTAATTACCACCCAAGGATATTTTCCTATTGATTTTAGATAGAGTGGAAGGAAGGAAGGAAGGAAAGGAGGAGGAGGAGGGAGAAAGAGAAACAATGATGTGAGAGAGACACATTGATTGGCTGCCTTGACCAGGGCCTGGGATCAAAACTGTAACCCTTGACTGGGAATCAAACCCGTGACTCTTTGGTGCACAGGCTAATGCTCTAACCACTTAATAACACCAGCCAGGGCAGTGTGACAACTTTTTTTTAAAAAAATTCTTTATTGTTTAAAGTATTATATATATTATTACATGTCTCTCCTCCCCCCCCCCCCCCCCCATTGATCTCTCCCCGGCCATCCCCGCTCCTGGCACATGCCCTTACCCCTCTAATGTCTGTGTCCATTGGTTATGCTTTATATACATGCACACAAGTCCTTTAGTTGATCTTCCCCCTTTCCCCTCCCCTGAGTGCTCTCTGAAGCTTGATAGTCTGATCAGTGCTTCTCTGTCTCTGGATCTATTTTTGTTCATCAGTTTATGTTGTTCATTATATTTCACAAATGAGTGAGATCATGTGACATTTATCTTTCTCTGACTGGCTTATTTCACTTAGCATAATGCTGTCCATGCCCATCCATGCTGTTGTGAATGGTAAGAGTTCTTTCTTTTTTACAGCAGCGTAGTATTCCATTGTGTAGATGTACCATAGGTTTTTAATCCACTCATCTGCTGAGGAGTGCGTAGGCTGTTTCCAAATATTAGCTCTTATAAACTGTGCTGCTATGACCATAGGGATGTATGTGTCCTTTCTGATTGGTGTTTCTAATGTCTTGGGATATATTTCTAGAAGTGGGATTACTGGGTCAAATGAGAGTTCTATTTTTAATTAAAAAAATATATATTTTATTGATTTTTTTACAGAGAGGAAGAGAGGGTTAGAAACATTGATGAGAGAGAATCATCAAATCAGCTGCCTCTTACACACCCCCTACTGGGGATGTGCCAGCAACCAAGGTACATGCCCTTGACCGGAATTGAACCTGGGACCTTTCAGTCCATAGGCCGATGTTCTATCCACTGAGTCAAACCGGTTTCGGCCATTTTTAATTTTTTGAGGAAACTCCATACTGTTCTCCATAGTGGCTGCACCAGTCTGCATTCCCACCAGCAGTGCACGAGGGCTTCTTTTTCAGCCCATCCTCGCCAGCACTTGTCATTTGTTGATTTGTTGATGCTAGCCATTCTGACAGGTGGGAGATGGTATCTCATTGTCATTTGATTTGCATCTCTTGGATGATTAGTGACTTTGAGCATGTTTTCATGTCTCTTGGCCTTCTGTATGTCCACTTTAAAAAAATGTCTAAGTCCTTTGCACATTTTTTAATGGATTGTTTATCTTTTTTTTGTTAAGACGTATGAGCTCCCCATATTAGTAAATGTTGGAGATTAGGCCTTTATCAGATATAACACTGCCAAATATGTTCTACCATGCAGTGGGCTTTCTTGTTGTTTTGTTGATGGTTTCTATTGATGTGCAGAAGCTTTTTATTTTGATTTAGTCCCATTTGTTTATTTTCTCCTTAGTTTCCTTTGTTCTAAGAGTTGTATTGGTAAAGATATTGCTATAGCGGATGTCTGATATTTTGCTGTCTATGGATTCTTCTAAGATTTTTATGGTTTCCCATCTTATGTTTAAGTCCTTTATCCATTTTGAGTTTATTTTTGTGTATGGTGTAAGTTGGTGATTTAGGTTAAAATTTTTTTTTTTGCATGTATCTGGCCAATTTTCTCATAATCATTTATTGAAGAGACTATCTTGACTCCATTGTATGCTCTTGCCTCCTTCATCAAATATTAATTGAACATAATGGTTGATTTCTGGGATCTCTGTTCTGTTCCATTGGCCTATATGTCTGTTCTTATGTGCCAAAAACAGGCAGTTTTGAGAACAGTGACTTTGTAATATAGCTTGATATCTGGTATTGTGATCCTCCAATTTTGTTCATCTTTCTCAAGATTGTTGTAGCTATTCGAGATCTTTTTTTTATTCCCCAACAATTTTTTATAACGATGCTAGAATTATCCAATAACATGGCCTGGTATTGAATCATTCTCCCTCCTGTTATTTCCCTTGGTTTCAAGGACCACACTTGGAAAGCTGATGAGTATTTTGCTGAGACCTCCTCCTAGAGCCGTGGTTTGCTGCTCTGTTGACTAATGAGTTTGCTGACCACTGGGATAGGGGCTTAATCACAAGGAACAACAACAGCCTGTAATTATTGGAATTGAGAGTCTAGGTCAGTGGTTTGCAAACTCATTAGTCAACAGAGCAGCAAACCGCAGCTCATGAGCTGCAGTTTGCCGACCACTGTCCTAGAACAGCCCCTCAGATCAGTCTTTTAGAAAACAGATAAGAACCCTCATAACAAAGGACTTACAGGAGCTTAGATGGGAACTTGACTTTCTTTCTCCTA